TTCACTGATTGTGGTATGGGTTCCCTGAGACCTACTCCCCACCACCACTCTATATGATGGTGCGATGGGTACATGTATGTACCCCCTGAGTCCAATATACAGTAACAGCAATGAGGAGAACAGAGAAATGTAGAATGAAAAGAGATGAACAAAAGCATATTGAATAAACAAAAATTAAAAAAAAACACAGAACAAGAGCAGAAATAACAGAAAAAAAAATTAAGCAGACACACACACAAACACACACACGCACAGACACACACACTCCAAAGCAAACTAGAATAACAACAGAAAAGAACAATAATAACAAATAGGAAAACCAAACACACATACCATACACATACCCAACCCAAAATGAAAGAAGAAAAACAGGAAAAAAAGAAAAGAAAAGGGAAGGAAAAAAAATGGAATCGAAATTGAACCCTCACTCATGTATTCACATGTAAATTGAACCTCAAAAAGAGAACAAAAAAAGCAAAAACAAACAAAACTTAAAGATGAATTCTCAATTCTTTATATACACATGTAAACAGAAAACAAAATACTAAAAAAGAAAGAAAAAAGAGGAGGTCGGGAATGCAGATCGAACCCTCACATACACATTCATGCACAAAGGAAAAATAACAATTTACAAAAATAACCAAACCCCCCCAAAAAAACCCTGCCTCTTAAGGCAGGTTCTGTAATTGTTCCTGTCGCTTGCCCCTCTGCTGTTTCCTGCAGAGCTTCAACCTCATTCATTCTTCCCAGTGTCTGGCCTAGGAGGGAGCAGTGGGGGTGACTGGGGCTTCAATCTTCCCCTCCCACTTTAGTATGGTCAGGGGTTCCCCTCCAGTGGGAGGTGTGGAATTGTCTCTTCCTCGTGTACTAGTGGTGGGGTACCCCAGATAGACTTATCCTGGAATGGAGTCCTCCTGTGTCAGCTGACATCCAGTCGTGCTCCAGCCATGTGGGTCTGATGTTCAGAGGATTGCTGGGGAGGAGGGGGTTGGGTCAGCCCCAGACTCACCACTAATGTCTTTGGAGAGCTTCCTCATCCTTTCTGGCCACACCCTTTGTCCCACAGCTGATTCAGGGCAGGGGGTGAGAAACCTGAGACTCAGCACTTGTCCTGTCCCTCTGGAGTTTGTGCTTTCATCATATTCCCCCGGGTCACAATCAACCCCTAAGTATTTAATCCACCAGTCATAGAGATTGAATCAGGTCTGTCGCTTCATGGTGAGCAAGCCGGAGCAGTTTCCTTCCCAATTTTCAAGATGGTGGCAGGGTGCCTCTTTTATCTTCTCCAGTGGGGCTCTGCCTCTGGCCTCTCTTGCTATGCTTGCTCCACAGCCCTTGCTGCCAGAGTACAGCCAGGCATTGCAGTGGTGAGGCAGAGCCTGGAGCTAGCATTCTCTCCCAGCAACTTCTAACTGGGAAGGGCTTTGTTGATTTTTTTTTTAAATGGCACTTGGCTTCCATGCCCTAGGAAGCATTAGTGACCAAGCAGAGCAGCTGTGGCAGCAGCCACCTCACCAGAATAGCCCTGGCCACTTGCTCCTGAGACACTACTCAGTCATCCACTCATATGCCCACTTACTCAACAACATGCATGAAAACTTTCCCATACTCTCACTCACTCACACTGGGACTCGCTTATTTCGACTGGCTCTGCCACCATCTGCCCGAGAGCCCCCTGTCTCTGATTGCTTACTGGAAAGAGGCAGCCTACTTGGAGAATGGCAAAGTAAAAGCTGGCAAAAAGATTAGCAGCTGGAAGCTAACATCTTCTGTGCCTATAGGTGGATAGATAGAGCTCAGCAGACACCAAGATAAAGAAAATGGTTGTTGGCTTGACTGTGAAGCAAGGTTTCCTTGGTGCTGAAAGAAAAATGAAGCCCCTTTAGAGATATAAAATAACCAGCAAAAGTATAATTCTGCCCCCTAAGCAGGGAGAGGGAGAGCGCTGATATTCTCAGATGCCCAGGCCTTCACTCTGGGCTTACCCTAGCCCCTTTAGCCTATCCCCCAGTGCCTGGGCTGCCACCTTTCCCTGTCTTGCCATCTTAATGCCAGCTTTTTCCTGGGGGCCCTTGGGAACCCCTGACAACTGATGGGCTGCTATCCCTTTCAGTGGGAGAGAGCCCTATACACACTGCCCAAGCCTAGAAAATAAAGTCAGGGCCTGCCACCTCCATGACCCCTCCCCCCCCACACACACACCTAGTATAGCCACTCACACCTGAGGCAGAGCATAGCATCTTGAGAAGGACCCTGAGCAAAGGAGCCCTGTGGGTTCCACTGTTGGCTCTATCATTGCCTCAGAGTGACATTGGGAGTTCCCTCCCTTCTCCAGGCCTCAGTTTCCACATCTGTTTCAAAGATGTTCTGCTTACCTCACAGAAATGTTCTGAGAAGTAAATGAAATGATGAGTGTGCAAATAATTTGTAAACAGCAAAAAGCTATGTGCACACAAGAGTGGTTAAGTTAAAGCTGCCAAATTTGTACATGTTCTCCATATGCTCAGCAGGTCATCCCTATGACTATACCTGTTCCATTCTAAAAACTGAAATCTTCAAGACCAAAGACTAGGGTATTCACAACCCTCTTCATTCTAGTCCCCAGCCTAGATCCTGTTCAAATACCCTGAACTCAAACTGCCCTGAGTTTTCCCACTTTTGTGCCTTTGTTCACCAAGTTCCCTTCACTAATACCTTTTGCTTTCTCTCTGCTGATTAAAATTCTTTCCACCATTCAAAGCAAAGATCAAATATCACCTCCTCCATCAGGCTTTCCATCAAGTTAGCAGCTGAAGGGTATCTCTCTGGTTTCTGGAGTCCCATGGGCTATTTTACACTTTGGATTTAGTCCTTGGGGGCCACCTTTTTGAATAAAGCAAAATAACTTTCTCACTGCAGGAGAGAGTGCAGACTGATCAGTGTCATGTGCAAAGTAGAGCCAAGACCCAAGCTCATGGCAATGCCGGGAAGGAAGAAAGGGAAATGTCTTAGACTAGGTAATTTATAAATAACAGAAATTTATTTCTCACGGTTTTGGAGGCCGTGAAGTTCAAGATCAAGGTGCTAGTACATTTCATGTCTGGTGAGGGCCTTTTCTCTAGCTGATTAACAGTGACATCTCACTGTGTTCTCACATGGTGGAAAGGGTGAGGTATGTCTTTGGAGCCTCTTTTATAGGGTCACTAATCCCATTCATGAAGGTAAAGCCCTTATGACTTATGGGTACTTCCCAAAACTTCACCTCTTAATACTATTACATTGAAAATTAGGTTCCAATATATGAATTTTGGAGGAACACCAGCATTCAGACTACAGCAGAAGGGAATGAGGGAAGGAAAGAGAGAGGAAGAAAGGAAGAAAGGAAAGGGAGGTCAGGAGGAGACAAGGAGAAAGAAAAGGAAGGAGGGAAGGAACCTAGCTCACTGGAAGTAGTTAAGACTTAGCCTTCCTGAAAGCTAGTGGCTGTGGTAGTAGAGGGACATGACTGACCTCTCACCAGGGGTCAGTGCCAGCAAGGGACTGAAGGCCAAGGGGGAGATTTCACTTCAGGAACAGTAATACTTCCTCTGCTCCTCCTCATACTACCTAGGAAAAATCACCTTGGAAGAGTCATCATTAGAAATTAAGATGATCCATTCCAATCCCTGGCCCATTTTCTGAATGGGAATGATAAGGCCTGTGGTGGGGGTGGAACTACAGCACACTAACAGCACAGGCAACTGAACAAAGAACAGCTGGAAGTAGTCTGAAGAGTTGGGCCACCAATAACATGGGTACTTAACTTTGTCAGGTTCTCAATGTCCTCATTTAAGAAATGGGGCTAAGAGTTTGGTTCTTCCTCTTTGCCTAGAAGTTGGTATGCTCCTATAACCTTCTTCAACACATGTCCTGTGAAATTTCCAGAGTGCTTATGTGTTTTCACGGGCCAACCAGAGAGTCTATGTCCTAGATTTTGTGAGGGAAGTCACCTTGACCAGGCTCCATTTGAAGGGTATACTTTCCTTGGGGCCTTATGGCAGATGGAACTGCTGAGATGGGACTCCTAATCCCCAAGGGCCCTGGCTAAGAGAATGGCAGGCAGGGCCAAGGGTGGAGTCCTGGACAAACCACCCCTCAATAGCTCAGATTGAAAAGAAGGTAAAAAAGAGCTTGAGATGCCTACCCTGAAGTCCTCTTTCTGTGCTTTCAGTCCAGTACTTCAGCTCTCATGCTCCTTGGAAAACAACAGTTGTGCTGTTCTCCAAAGTACCTAAGAATGAAAGTCTGGAAGCTGAGCAGGGCAGGAGTACAGAGATGGATGTTCAGTTTTCTTACTCTACTTCCTAAAGTTTCTCAGGCACTAGTAGCTAGGGAGAGTAGGGGAGATTAGAGATGGAAGAGGCAAGTCAGTTTCAGACCCCATGCCCTACCTCCCTTTACTCATGATTGGGGAACATGATGCAGGAGATGGTCAAAGCAGCTCCCAGGAAGAGCTCTAAATATATATAGTGTTTCCTGCATGCAGATTTTTCTGGCTCTTCTCCATCCCTTCATCTTTTCTCCCTTTCACTGTTCATCCATATCTCCACTCACATTTGTGCAGGGGAAATGCAAAACGGTTCTGTGAAAGGATGAAGATTTAGTAACATGGGTGCCTAGATTTTAGTGAATATCTGTGCTGGTCTAAGGCCTGTTTGCCTCCTTCCCCTGCTCTTCTCTGTACCATAGGAGGTCTGATCCCTTCAGTCTACATTTCCTAGGTTCCCAAGTCAATTATCTTCTGGCTGGGTTCAACCAATAGAAAGCACTGGTGAGAGGGCAGGACAAATGGAGAAGCCAGGGTAGTGGGGAGGTTCAGGCCATTTGGTTATTTTTCTGTTTTGTTCTTACAGTGGTCGAGACTTCTGTACCTGTCAGATGCCAACCCATTTGTCATCCTTCCCCATGGCCAATCAGACCTCTTCTTCCAATAACCCCTCTCACCATCCCCCCACATACGCCAGACACAGCAGATACTAGGGCTTATTTTGTTGAGAATTTTATTGTGGAGGATAATACAGGAGTACAGCTCCAGGGAAATGGGTGAAGTTGTAGTACCCTCCAGCTACCTGGGTCCCCAGGTGGTTTTGGAGGCATCGTCAATTCCTAGGCAGACAGCAAGATTACAGTTGGTGTTTGAGGTAGGTAATCAACACAGGAGGAATATCCAGCTGGTTGATGGCTTGTGGTTGGCCAGCCTGGCACAGGGCTCTGTGGATGACTAAACGAGCCTGTGACTGGAGCGACCGTGGAGTCGCTACAGCAAGGAGAGAACAGGTCATGAGAAGCTATTCTCAGTGCAAGTCTCCCACCCAAGCCTACATCCTCCTGCCCTGGCTATGACAGTCTTAATGTCCTCTCCCTTCTAAGAAATTAAATGGTCATTGACAGAACCAGGACCAGAAATTAGGCTAGTGCTACCCCTCCACCCCTACCACATCTTAGTGACCTTTCCCTAACATGGAATCTGTAACCTCTTCTCTACTGAACCCCAGGAGAGAGAGGAATATGGAGTTTTTTCCAGTTCATCCCAGAGGATTGGGTTGAATAGTGATTTGGGGCCCTGGGACCTCCAAACCAGGTAACCTATTGGGCTGGACTGCTCACCACTCACCTCGGGCCTGTAGCAGCAATGCAATGCCTTTATCATCTTTTGAGACCAGGTCCAAGGAGAGAGATGGAAGGTAGATGTTAGCACCAAAATCGATTAACAGCTGGATGTACTCTGGTTCACAATTATGGTGGAGACAGATTTCAAGGAGGGGGCGGGGCCGTGGCACACGAGCCAATAGACCCTGGTCAGTGCAGTTGTAGTTGGGGTCTGCTCCATGGAGCAAAAGCAGGCGGAAACAGTCGAGGTGCCTGTAGACTGCAGCCAAATAGAGGGGGCCAGAACAGGAAGCCATGTTTGATGCCCATACTGGTAGTTTAGCTTTGACATTGACCTCTGCACCATGATCTAGGAGCTCCTGCAGGATAGCAACAGCACCATCACGGGCAGCTGTGAGCACAGGAGAACAGTTGTTGTAGATGCTACCACCAGGACAGGCACCAGCTTCCAATAGCACATGCACACATTCTAGATGGCCATGACTGACAGCAGTGAAAAGTGGTGTCTGTGCCTTGACATCCAAGCTGTCAACATCAGCACCATGTGCCAGGAGGACCTGCAAACAGCTCAAGTGGCCATAAGAAGCAGCTAAGCGCAAGGGTGTCCCAGGAATGCCCCAGCCACTTCTGCTGTTGATGAAACGTTTATAACGCTCCTGGCGTAAAAGCTGGTCCAAGGTATAGGAGTCGTTATCATATACTGCTTGATTGAGAACCTGCTTCTCCCCCGTATGGGTGTCCTCCTCCTCTTTGTCGGGCTGCAGGAGGGAGAAGATCTTGGTGATGTCCATGAGGTTCATTTTGGCTGATTGGAGCAGCACTAATCTCATTATGAGCAGGAGGATATGCCAAATCTGTGGGCAACAGACAAAAAAAGGGGGAGACACTGAGAGTCCCTATCAAAAGCCTGGATGCTAGCCTCTAATCCAAACACTTGCCGCCTGTCCTTTACCATTAGGCTACTCACCCATCCTATTTTTTACTCCCACTCTTATTTCAGGCCCCAAAGAAGCTGCCAAAACAGTTCAGGCCATTTCACAGCTTGGTGCCTTTGCATATACTATTCTGTCTGCA